GACATTAATAAAAAATTTTCGGTACGATTCATCTGGGTATACATACATACATTACCGATCCAATACCAGTCCTCATTATAAATTACAATAGTTGTCATCAGTGACTGTCAGGTAACCGTCGTTACAGTGTCGGTTTCAATATGTCCCAGTCTTTTCCGGCATAACTTTGTCAGCGTTCTACAAGCAAAAGAAAAGAATGTTATATGAACGTATGCTCTGAAATGTTTTATTAAGGAGTTATAACTAATAACACAAAATAATAATGAACTGGCGTTTCATCGACACAGCGTACGAACGTATCATGAGTGTTACAGAAATTCACATAATCTCTTTGAAGCTCTGTGTTTACTAACAAAACTAAGAAAAATAACAGTAGATCTTCTTATTGTAATAACATTTCAAAATGACGTCTGTTATTACGAATACAGGATTGGTATCTAACAAAAATTGACTCTATCGCATTATTAATGTCTTCTTAATTTTCTCTAATCGCAGCAAATGCGTCATTGATCCTCTGTACTAACTGCTCACGAATGTTAATTTGTGCTTCATAAACTTTTGCTTTCACAACTCCCCACACATAAAAATCCATTGGCGTGATATCTGGTGATCTTGGAGGCCATTGATTCTCCTCGACCTATCCATCGTTGTGGATAATGGTAATTTATCCATTGCCGTACCGGTACTGCAATGAATGTAGATTAGACAACCGTCCAATTGAATCCATAAGTTTTGTCGAAGTAATAATAGAATATATCTTGCTACTTCTGTCTCAAATTCGTTTTCTAAGAAATCCAAAAAAGACTGTGCCGTTAATATATCCGGTAAAAAGTGTGGTACTAAACATTATTAGCTCAGCAGAAATCAATGATATCAATTACTTCAGCAAGAAAACATGAGTTTATTTAAACACAAACAGATATTCATAATACGTTCCTACGTTGTGTCAACAAAATGTCAATTCACTGTCATTTTGTATTATTAGTTACAACTCCTTAATAAAACATTTAAGAGCATATGTTTATATTTTTTTCTTACTTTTGCTTCTATAACATACTGGCAAAGTTATGCCGGAAAATACTAGGACATCCTGCATATATATATATATATATATATATATATATATATATATATATATATATTATATGTATATAATATATATGTATATATATTATACTGTCTATAACTATACTGTCACCGACTATCTAACGATTGCTACAGCGAGGACTGTTAATTAGTAACATTTATCGAAAATTTTTTTTATTGATATCTTGAAAACTAACAAATATCAAAAATAAAAATTTTATATTTGGGATAATACTATTCTTTTACTCTCCTATCTATCGCTTAAAAGTTTTATATCGATCCATCATCAAGACCTTTCGACATTTAAATTCAAAATGCGATGTAAAACCAGGAATTAGATTTTAGTTGGTGAAAGTTAAAACTATATGTCGTATCATTGTATCTCAAAATACATATACGTATATATCATGTTTTCGAAAATGATGATCTGTATTGCTTTAATTGAAATTGGACTTACCCGTCCATCAGATTTTGGGGTTAAGGAAAAATAATCGTTATTCTTGATTTGGTACGAGATATAAAATATAAAATATATAAGATAAGAAATATATATATAGTACAATCTCTCTTATGTAAATTTCATAGTTTCAAATTAATATAAATTAGTAAAATTCAAATTAATCAATATTTCGAACATTTCAACGAATTCGAATGTTATATTATCAGTGTCTGCTAATAATTAGAAAATCATATGCTATTAGCAGATTCTGATGATATAAAGTTCGAATATTGAGATATTCGAAAAGCATACATTATACAGTAATATCATTACATGAAAGAACATGTTTCAGATTGAAAATATTCTCGCTTCATATATCAAACTATCATTAATAAGTACAAACAGATAAAATACGATGTAAAAATTTCAAAATTAATAAAATCCATTTCATGCTAACAATATACCTACATACATTACATACATATTAGCACATACTGACTTAGATCGATGTTTTTTATTAAATATATTATTTAGTACAGTATTATCGTTACAATGAAACATTATATATATATAATCAATAACATGTTAGGAGTTATTAGAGACACTTTCCAACTATTTTTACAGAAAAAGAATAAGCAATGATAAATATGATTCATCTGTGTAGATATCTTCCTAAAATCACACATCTCGTCTTAAAATTTATTTTTTCGTTTCCGCATCGAAAATTATTCCTTGAATTAAATCTCTGACACTTTATTACAAGCAACATACATATGTATGTACATACAATATAATAGTAACTTTATTTGTATGATAAAGAGTACAATAAATATAAATTATAAATTGTAAATACAATAAATACAATATAAAAGTCAATATAAATTTTACGTTATATACACATAATGTGTAGTATAACGTAAGTTGTTGTATTTACAATAAATATAATTAAATACAATAAATACTAATATTAATAATAAACATAATAATTGCGAATCGGCGCTCGCATGTGATACGATACTCACCAACAGACTTTAAACAACAACTAGCACTTCAATTCCATAAGTCCATATTTTTTTGTAAGCTTTTTAAGCATGCCATTCTTTATGAGATTAGACTCATCAGTTCCTCATAGGGAGGAGCTGAGATTGATGTGGATTTTTCTGAAGTCTAGGATTAAAAACCTCGATGTAGCTGATAATTCACAAAGTTGAGGACTTGTACTGGCTAAATGGTCCACTTATCTCACCTCCCCGCGGTGCTCCCTGAAGCACTGTTTGCAAGACGATGCTTGTGCATACAGTGTGCGAAAAAGTGAGTGGTCATGTGTAGAAAGGGGGTGTCCTTATTGGTATTTTATGATAGAACGAACGAAATTAGTCTCTATTACAGGTTCAGAAGGTTGCGGAGTATACGGAGTACTTGTGTATAGTGGAAAATTTCCCGATCGTAATAGATCTTCACTTTTTAGACTATGCAATGTTTTAGACTATGTATCCATGTTCAAGGACAACATTTTGAACACTTGTACTAACAGTGAAAACGTAAACAACATGTGCAAAGAGTGCTCTGAGATAATATGTTTCCTCTTGTAGTTGATCTTGAGTGACCTTTATTATAGGACATTGTATTCGTCTTGGAATCTTCTATCGAAATGTAAGTAAAAAATATCATATCGTTCCACTTAAGAGTTGACCTTCATATCTCCTTGACGCCTCTACCTATAAGAAAATTAGTAACATCAGATTATTATCTCTCGATACCAAATAAGTTTTATCCGATGCATTTTTTTCTATCTTCGAAAACAAGCGAGATATTCAGGTATAGTTTTAAGTGTCCCATCCTGTATTAGGAGCATGTGGGTACCCGACATTTCGGTACCCGGATCAAGCCTCGACCATAGGTATGACCTATAATCATCATACCATCCAGCTATAATTCTTTATTACAAAATAACGAACTTATATCAGAATTAGAACCATTGTCCAACACAATCTGTAAAAATTAAAATCAGACATGTTTTGAAAGAACAAAACCAATCTAAGAAGGATGCATCAAGACTGCAACAGCGATACGATCATCCAAAATCATTAGCAGATCATTTGAACGCATTGCTCCGATGCCCCACAGTGAGGCGGATCGAAAATTCACGCAACATTTTACCAGAAATAATCAACTTTCATTTTGATATTTTTTTAATATATACTGATTTCTAAATCTTCATCAACCTCAAAATGAAAAAATTAATAAAATATAATAATAATTTTAGTTGAAACAGACACATTAAAGCTAGACATTTTAAAAATATCGATTCTCATCAAATAATTTGGTTCTTCTTCTTTGAAACGTCCTGACAACTGTGTTTAATTTTGTAAGCTGAATTTTTTACGATTTTTATTCTACGATAAAAGATGATTTTCCTTGATGAGAAATCATACTTCCATTGATAATTATAATATATTTTTAAAAAATATTGAACGGAATAAAAGAAATTAGTTTTTACGTTTGATAAGCAATATCTTTCAAGTCCCACTAACAAACAGGAATCTTTTCAGCGAATCTTCTTCTATATAATAACGTAAGAATCATATCCATCAGACATTTCAAGATATTATTGTTTAAAGTCATCTGCGTCGCAGATGCAGAATGCATCAAATGCGTTTTATTCATCAACGCAAAAGTCCTTTTTTGTACGTGAAGGAAATCTCCTCTGAGGGAAGAAGCCAGGGGCTGTTAGATTCTTACCAACTAAAACTCCCATGGTGGTACCGTCCTCACTCGCTGTAGCCACGAAATCCGGTGGATTGCTCGACGGTGCTTCTCCGAACAAAGGGTCTCAAGAGTCCTAGACTGTATTCAGTTAGAACAGTATCAATTCGATAAAACGATTCAATATCATCCTTTAAGTAATTTCAGTAATCACAATATAGCATAAATTCGAAAAAATTTCAAAATTATGATTTGGAAACTGCAGAGTATTTTGTCTTCAATTATGGGTGATATGTCAGTTTCTGATCACAAATTACTTATTCATCGAGCAACTATAATGAGAAATGCATTGCTTTCTATTAGAAAATTATCCAAAGAAGCACAGAAAACTAGATTGCAAAAAATATAGATCTAAAAATAGCAGAAAAATATCAAGGATTGACACAAATCAAAATATACTTCACACACTACTTCTAACATCGGACATACATGTCTGCATTAAGAATAAGATCAAGAAATAAAAAAAAAAAGAAACATTAAGAATTAGATGTAGATATTGACATAAATAAAAGAAAAGTAAGAGTTGTATAGCGTAAGTTTTAATATTTCATTCTCTTATGCTTAATAGAATAACTAAAATTAAAAGTTTTATCGAGATATGATCTAAATTAATTAAAAAAATATATTAAACGGAATATACAAATAATCTTACAAATTTGTTTAAAAGTGATTAACAAACATGAAATATGTCATGTTGTATGTTGTGGAAAGGAATATTATAAATATTTGTGTGAAATTTTGTATGTGTGTATCTTTTATAAGTCAAAAGTTATTCAAAAATGTCGCATAAATTCTCGATATGGCTCACTGTGAGCCGCTTCCATTCGACAACAAGATAGTCTAATAATCACTGAAGAAAGATCCATTTTTCAGGATTTATCGAAATTTCTTGAACATTGCGCTAATTGTTTAATGCGAAAACAATCCGGTTAATCCAATCGCGATAAAGAGAGGCTAGCCTAAATATCGTGACAGCCTAATATGAATAAGCTGACGTGGTCAAAATTGCAACAACGATACGATGATCCAAAATCACTAGCAAATCACAATTAAAATCATCATAGTTCTCAAAAAATTAAAAAGTCATATTCAATAACATTATTACCAAAGAATCGCGCTCGACCACTAATGCTTTCGCCTGATTTTCCGTCGTGTGCAACCGATCACGCAAGCTGAGAGGCAATGTAAATCAATTCATGTAGAGAATGGGGAGATTGATGATGCTGCAATCGAGCAGATTTCATTCCTTCTAGACTTCATTCCTTGTCCATTGATCTTTCTTGATGGCTTCTAGTTCCAGGAGGCTGCGAACTGCAAATTGACCTCTTCGCGTGGCCACGTTCTGGACGCATCAATAAAATGTGGACTCCTGGGAAGGTTCTCTAGCTTGTCCTTCGATGAATCTTTACTGTTGTCTGTCCGTCACAATGTAACTTTAATCATCAATTTTTCCCTATTTTCTAACTGTATATCGTAATAATAGAAATGGAACGTATTTCTGTATAAGATACCATTTCTAATTGCGCATTATTTGTCAATTCAGCAAATCTTGATATAGCATTAGGATCTAATACACGATTGTAAAATAAAAAAAAAAATTTAATTAAAACGTTTTATTCTTATGCTTTACGACAATATTTTTATGATAATATTTACTTGAGATCAAAATCATCTGTTATATCCATATTTCTGATACATTTTCTCAAGTATCTGTAAAAAATATGTTATTTAACATCGATGTAATAATATTTTCTTATATTTTACATATATAATTTTATTATATTTTTATAAATATAATATAATTATATAATTTTCTTATATTTTTATTGTTTACTTGTAGTATTGTAGTGTTTGGAGCTACTCCAACATTTTGTCGACGACCATTTGGCACAAGTACTATAACATTTTTATTTGCAGCCATAATCTCATGTATTGTAAAACTTTCCTTTGGCTCATGGCATTTTTACTGACGGATTCTACTGATTCTGCTCATTTGGCTGCCCGCGAGTTTTTGTTTAACCTGGCTAGTTCGTCTTATTGTTAGCCAATCAGATTTGTCTGGCAACGCCGATTGTTCCAAACGTTTCTAAATGTTTTCTAGTTGAAAATGGTTTTAATATCAATAAACAGGCTCGCGACCGTCCTGACATAGACGAATGGTCAACAACGACGGTCAGTGTTCGTGAATTTTTTTTAATACATAACATTTTTGCATTTGAATTGTCAAACAAGGTGAACAACTATTGTCTAGCTCATAACAGCGTTCAGCAATGTTAGATACATTCTTGCGCTAACAAAGATTATTTTCTATTTAGAAATTAGGCAGGTATGATAATAAAATAAATTTCTTACAACTTGGACCCATTTAATATAATTATATTATTTAGGGGTGTGTGGGTAGAAGAATTTATTCGAAACGGTATTCGAATAAAATTTTATTCAGTAATGCTCAATTCTAATTCTATCCCCCTTGAACTTTTTCCAACTTGATCCGAAATCGTCGGACTACCCGAAATCATCGGGCTACCCGCCCGAGCCCGCCCGACTTTGTGTGAACCCGACCCGAACCCGAAATTTCGGGTACCCCTAATATTATTACATAATTTATTATCATTCAGGTCCTATTAATCAATGATGCTACTTTAAAAAATTGAATTTAATTGCAAAACTCCAAAATCGATTTTTCCCATAAAACGAGTCTACTGTAGACTTGAATTTTATTAGATCTTATTAGATTTTATTAGATTTTATTAGATTTTTTTATATCGCTGTATTTCATCATCTGTATCACTAATGAATATTTTTTCTTATTCTAATTTGTTTTATATGTATGTATACATATGTATATCTGAATCTCTTTTATTCGAATATCCAAATAGAGTATTTACCAATATTGGATTTTCTTATTCTATTTTATTTTACATATATATAAAATATTTTTAAAATAATATTTTTAAAAGTATTTTTTTATTTGATATGTATTTCTTATTTTAATTTATATACATATCTATCATACGTCTGACGCGTTTTCTATAATTAGGAAAAGAATTTACGAAATACGAGATACAAAATTTTAACAACAAAAAAAAAGAAAAAAATAATATCAATGAAACATAAATATAACAGATTATGTTTGATTTATATCAGATTATGTTTGATAAATCAATCTTTCATTTATGTGATAAAGTTTTTCTACAAACAACAAATAAAAATAATGGGGATGTCTTTTTACAATGAAATGAAAGTTTAAAAGATAGATTAAAACACAAAAATGATGTATATATCTTATGCTAAAAAACTAAACAAATATAACACTTTAAATATTTAATGCCAGAAAAGTGTTTTATTATCTGAAAATTTAATTACTTTTGTTTCTTCATTACTTTGGATATGGGAGGTTCTATTGTAATTATTTCATAATGTTGTTTAAAAGTAGTATCTGATCTCGTTAGGAGATTTTATATTTCTTCTTGTGAAATGAAGATTGATATAATGATATAATTACACATCCAAATTTATTTCAATTGTTCGTAAAATTAAATGAACAAAAAGAAAATATCGTTCATATTTAATATAAAATGGAGTAATTACAAAGTTATATAAGCTATTTTAAAATTATCTGGATTTATTAATATATAAAGATTTTGAAAATTAAAAAAATTAAAATAATGGTAAGTCTTTAATTGAGAAACAAGAATGAAAAATAATATTATAAATATTTATTTTTGAATTAATTGAATTAGAAGAGCCTTCAATTTTAATGTGTAAAACTGTTAAGTGAATAAAAACCATAATGAAACTATAACATATGATAAAAGTATTATACAAAAAAAAAAAATATATATATATATATATATATATATATATATATATATATATATATATAATATGTGATAATTTATATTTAATATATATTACAGTATATTTTTTAAATCAATATACGTTAACACGTTAATTATGCGAAATTTATGTTTTACCTATGCACATTAAATATCGGAATTCAATGTTATCATAAAAATGCAATGAAAGTTCATTTTTCATTTTACAGCACTATCTATTTAATTATTTACGTATGTTTTTAAAATTTTTCTGTCAATATATTCACGTTATTTTTGTTGGTTCGCGAGTATGACAGGTGTTTGTGGTGTTGGCTGTGAATTGAATGTCGGTGAGGTAGGGTAAAGATAGTAAAAGCACAGGGTACATATATAAATATTCATATATCTCGTCGGTGGTAAAAGATCATGCGTTTCGTCTTGAAGTCGCCACCACACTCATCGATGGAGTTGATGGCGGCGATCCCAGACGCTTGTTAATCCTTTGACTATGGCACTTTGAGACGTACCAGCTGTACCATACGGTAGGAATTCAGTCGCGATCTACACTGAGAACGGCGAAATGTTTCGTTAGGCATGCATTTCTGAGAAAGTATATTAAAATAATCAAAACACTGAATTCCGTTACATTAAACTAATATTATTTATTTAATTGTATTCTGCATTGAATTGTTATTGCACATACTAAAAATTTAACATTAATATTACGCTTTTTTTCACAATATACCTAGTAATCTAGTAAAGTGTGGTACATTTCGAAACATGGATAAATACATAATCCTACATCACATTTCTTACACTCGTAATGTGTCTCACTTCTTCTATCATGTTTTCTACACACTATACATTTGCGCCTTGCGTTTTTCCGAATTGCTGCATTGTTTACATATGGAGAAGGAAAATGCATTTGCGTCAAACGAAAAGGCTCATTATCAATACTTTTACCTTTTGATTTACATGTATGTGTTCTACCTGAGCTGTATTTTCGTAAAATTTGTTTTATTAAATATAAATGAAATTTACTAAAAGATAAGTTTCTTCCAGTTACACAGTTATATAAAATAAATGTATTATACACAGCTAAATCAAATAAATGAAAGAAAAATTTCTTGTACCATTCTAAACCTTTTCTGGTATAATTCAGAGTATATAAAATCTGGTCAACTTTGTCAACCGCTCTCATTGTTTTATTGTAATCAATTATACATTGTGGTTTGATTATTTTTTCTTTTGTTTGGTAATGTATCTTGTTTGTATCAATCATATTGGGACAATGATAGGTGGAAATCATCCACACTTCCCTTTTATCCATCCATTTCAATGCTAATACATTTTTTGTTGAACAAAATATGTATTCTCCTTCGTTTATATTTTTATTCAATTCCGGTATACCTAACTTGTTTTTTCTTACCGTTCCATATGCATTGGTTAAGTTTTTATGTAACTCTAGGAATAAACTGGGACTGCTGTACCAATTATCAGTCACAAGTGTGTGACCTTTCCCAAGATATGGTTCAAGAAGTGTCATTACTATCTGTCCGGACTTTCCTATTGATTTTGATGCTATATCTTCAGACATCATGTTTGCCCCGGAATATACAATTAAATCTTGAATATAGCCTGTCTTGTTATCACACAAGACAAAGGATTTAATCTCAAACCTGCTTCTTTTTGATGGTACACATTGTTTGAAATAACATCTTCCTTTGAACAACAACAAGCTTTCATCTATACATAATTTTTCATATGGATAAAATGCAGTTTTAAAAGATGTTTTTAATTTTTCAAGAATATGGCGTATTTTTATAATTGGATCGTAATTTTCATTATTATTGTCACAAAAATGCAGGATTTTTAATAATAATGTATATCGATCCCTTGACATTATTTCTCCAAATGATTCTGTTCTTATAAGCTTATCCTTACTCCAATATTCTGATAAAGATGTCTTATGTATTCGTGCCATTAGCATGCTAACTGCCAAAAAATTATACATTTCGGAAACAGTAGTTACATTAGAATTATATACATCGCCTCTTGTATCATTTTCATAATATTTGTTACTTTGTTCGACAATGAATTCTATAAGTTCTTCCGAAAAGAAAATTTGAAAAATATCGAGAATAGATGATTGCCTGTTTACACTTGCTTTAATTCCACTATTTTTGTCATCAAATTCGTGAATTACAGGTTGGAAATCTCCCTGTGTCCAGGAAAATGTATTTTCACGTTTCTTTTGCTTTGATGTAACTTCTGTCTTATTCTCTTCTGATTCTAATGAATCTGATGAATCTGATTCTGATTCCGTTAAAACACGACGTTTTTTAATTATACGCTTGTAAAAAGGAATAGGCATTTCAAAATCACTTGTTTCCTCAGAATCAGAACATGAATCACTTGTGTCATGTTTGCATGTATTTTTTCTGACCATTTCATTATCCCAATTTTTCATTTTAAAGATATAAAAAAGAATAACTGTAAAAAAAAAACATATTTAAATAATATATGACTAATGGAATATGTAATTGTTAGCATTCACTTACATCTAGTTCAAATGAGATTTGCTGGAATTATAGAAGATAAAATTTTCTAGACGCCTATAGGCGCCTCTCGTGTCATCGGATCAAAGTACAGACGCCTACCGTATCATAAGAGTAATTGTTTAAAGCGCATTTAAGCGCCAACAGTAATTAAAGGGTTGTAACGGCCTACGCATCCTCACCAGTTCCGAACACTTGACTACCACAAACCGCAAGTGGATGTAAGCTTATTGTTAGCACCGGATCCAAACGATAACCGATGTTAAGCATACAATGTGCGGGTGGAACACCGCTGGGATGGGTAACCGCCCAGCCTTAATTAGTTCATAACAATAACAAGCATCTGTGATACGGGGTCATCGGTCCCACTGATGAGTGCAGACAGCGACTCGGACAACGCAACTCTCTCCACCTTTCTCCCTACCTTTCCCTATCCTTCCTTTCCTAAACTCATCCATATTTAACATCATTAGACATGGAAACGGTACCTATCCTAAAGCTGATCCACACGCTACGTGCGCTTAACCTGGTGATCGCCATCGATCCGTAGGTGCGCTGTATTCACTTGCGATTGGTGATTTTTATATCTTTGTATGATGTACTATAGCCGCTACATTTAAATTATTCTAAAATATTTATAATAAAAATACTAGTCACCAGTGATTACTATAGCAATCAATGCGTTAAATATTGATAGTAAATAGACCTTAATAATATTAAGATTAAGAATATGAGACACAAAATAAATTATTAGATCGTTGTAAACGAAATGACTGAATTCTTTATAAAACTTTTAATTTCCACTTAGTTTATACCTTTCTTGAAAATAATATTAATCAATATTAATTCATTTATAATAGTAAAAATATAATGAAAATAACATTAATTCATTATATTCAATACATTTTAACTATTGTGAAACAAATTTATAATTATTACAATTAAAATCTTTAGTTGATCGTTGTTCATCAATGGCAGATTCTTTTTTCTCTTAAAGCAATTCTTTAGAATCTTTCAATATTAGTATTATCATCAGCTTTTACTGTATTAGAGCAATCTACGAAGGTTCCTAAAAAATGTATTTAAATTCAGTACTGGTCCATAGATCATTTCGGTGCATAATTTGTTTTTTTGTAATAAAATAATCGTTCAAACAAAAATTATATTGTTTAGTTGGTTTTAACCTTGCTGCATTCTTTCATTTACGTTTTTCAAAAATTGAAAAATATTCCAACATGGAAAAATTCTTGTTGGTATTAATTTGACGTTAAACATTTGTTTAAAATATTATAAATCCTTTTTGTTTGCTAAACTGAATATAAAATTGATATATAAAAATTCAAGGGTTAAGTTTTAAATAGACTAGTAATAAATATTATTTTCGGTTATATTCTAAATAATTTTACACGACTGTGAAAATCGGACGTTTCATATGTAACACTTTAATAGTACGATGTAATGCTGAAAAAGGAAAAAACAAGAAAAGAAGAAACATGGTTGTGGACTTTTTAATATCATTAAAATAATATTATTATTATTTTATTTGTAATTATTGAAATAAGAAAATCATATGTAAGCATTTTTGAAACTATAGTCTATGGCTCTACAAAAACATTAGAATTGATTAAAATTTTGATTTAAAACAAAAAGGTTTCGATTAAAATTTTTTAAAAGCATTACTTGAATTAATTTTTTTATTAAATATGTTTTATAATATGTTTTATAAGTAATTAAGTAAATATGTTTTATAAGTAATTAAGTAATTAAATTTTATACTTAATATAACAATTACAAAGCAAAATTGTTCATTTGTAATTATTTTAATATATTAAAATCATTTTTTTTTTACTTTATAGTTTGTGTTCTGTAATAATTTTACGATATTGTAAAGTACCACATTTTATTAATTATGCAGTATATAAATAATTATAAAATTGAAATAAAATTTAAGATTCATTTTACATTATACAAAATCTATTTTGGATTGTTAGATCAGAAGCTTTAAAAAGTATCATTTTGAAGTTATTAGGTAAAGCTATATTATGGTTAATACAGAAATGAGCCTAAACCGTAGATAATGTTAAAGTTGTAGATAAGTTGACAATAGTTGTAAGGAAAATTGGCAATAGTAATGATTAAAGTTAGTAAAAACTTAAATATATATGAAGGAAATTCTAAAGCAGCAACAGATACTGATAAAACATTTTTTGAACAGAAAATATAAAAATCAGAAGGATTAGAAATATGATCAGGACAAAGAAAAAAGAATAATAACAGAAAGAGAAAAAGAAACTAATATAGTATCATTAATTATCACAGATAAGCCAAATTTTAGTGCAGCCATGCAAGAAACATGAAACAGATAACTTGAATAATACAAAATTACATAGTATATATTTAAATACTTCTTTGTATGTAACATATAAAAACTCTCTTCTCACTATAGTTAGGTGAAAGAAATGCTTTGATATTCAATCAAGCTGCAATTCAAAAAATGTTTAGAGATAAACTACCAGGTGATTTTTACGATCTAACAATTGACTGTGCAAAAATATCATTAGAGTTGTTAAACATTATAGAAAAGAACTAGAAGAAGCATCACTTTTAACAAATGTTCGACAATCCAGTAAAGAAGAGCGAATATCAGAATATCAATTAAACAAATATCAATAATTCATATACAATTTTCAGATCAAACTATTCTTCAAGGTTTATTTCAACCAATCGAAACTACACAAGGAGTGAAAGATTTTGTAAAATGTTATTTGAACGATGCAAATGACTTCATAATCTGTAAGTAAAAATATTAAGAAAAAAATTTATAAAAATAATTAATTATTTTAATAATCAATTATCAGTGGGATAGTATGAATATATTTTTAAAATACAATATTTCTATGTTCATATTTCCATTAAGTATTTCTTTCTCTTTATTGAAAAGATTAAAATTCAATGTAATACCACGCACATTAGCGATCTACGTTTAAATTCTGAACATACACTACCGGCCAAAAATTTGGAATTACTACGAGTTTTAAGGAAAACAGGATATATTAAAGAAAAGTTACACATTTTTATAGGAACTGAAGATACTTTATTTATCAAAACGTTTTAGTAAATAACACTTTTTGCATTTTCTTTCATTTTTTTCATAAAGAAATACTTTTCTTAAATAAGATACTTTTCTTAAATCGCCCTTTCATCGAAAAAGCTGTTTCTAATGACTGCCTGGTATTCTAGGCATCTTGGCAATGAGTTTTTTAATTGTTTCTAATTTTATATTCTTCCACGCCTCTTGTAGTATTTGCCAAAAGTGTTCCTTCGATGTTGGGCAGTGGAATCGGATATTCCTATCGAACTCTTCCCATAAAAGTTTAATTGGGTTCAAATCTGGTGACTGTGATGGCCATCTCATGTTCTTCAGAACCCGCTCTGTTTTTTTTTTTTTTTTTTTGCAAAAAAAACCGTACTCTTTATACAATTTATATGAATGCTTAGGGTCGTTATCCTGCTGCATAATAAAATTTCTACCTATTAAATGGCAACCTGATAGTACGGCATGTTGTTCAAGTATATGCTTATAGTCCTTCTTTCTCATTGTATTCTCTACTTTTATCAGTTCTCCTACTCCAACGGTCAAAAAACATCCCCACACCATAACTGAGCCTCCACCATGTTGACAGTCGGTACAATATATTCTGCCAACATTTTTTGTCCTACAGATCGACGGACAAATATTTTTTGGTGCGACTCAAATACTTCAAACTTGGATTCGTCAGTCTAAAGGACTCTGCTCTAGTCCTCAAATGTCCAATTTTCGTGACTTTTTGCCCAATCCAATCGCATTTTGCAATTTTTTGATGAAAGCAATGGTTTCCTGACAGCTATGCAGTTGTTTAAACCACCAGCTCTTAGTCGTCTTTTCACTGTGGTCAGAGATACTGGAGTCGATCTACTATGATTAAGATCTGCACGAATTTGTGAGGCCGTTAGCCGTCTGTTCTGTTTGCAAATAATCTCTATTCTAATATCTTCAGCCTTCGACGTTATCCTGGGTGTTCTTGATCGTGGTTTGTCTTTTAAACAGCCAGAGCTCTCAAATCGTTTTACTATACTCTGAACTTCCTTGTATGATATTTTCAATTTGCTTGCAATATTCCGCAAGGAATAATCTTCTTTTCTAAGTGTGATAATAGCATTTCTAGTTTCTACACTAATCTGTATCGTTTTTGCCATTTTTAAATATTGGAATACAATTTTAACTGCTGATCTCAGTTGAGTGCCTTCGTGAACGAGAATGACAACAATTTTTTTTTTCCTTGAGTTATTCTTGCTGCAGTTCCTGCGGTGACGTGTCCCTATAACCTGCGTTTAAATTGAAGAATTAAAGAGTTAGTTTGTGTGATGCATGTGTGTGTGGGTTGCAGGAAAACAGTTTCAAAAAACCTGCTGTGCTTGATATAGAGCTGTGATCTTGATATAGAGCTGTGATCTTGATATAGAGTATTATTGTGTAATTTATCTGTTTGTTAATGCATGCTTCGGAAGTTTTGTCCTAATTTTGAGTGGAATGTTTGTAGTTTCCTGTGCTTCTGATGAGTGGATTTGGGTGATTAAAGTTGTACGCCTTGATGAGAGTTCCGTATGAATTCTTTAATGGTTGATATGTTTGCTATATGGTGTAAAGTTTTAATAGGGATATCGTAGGGTTTGTTTAAAATAATACGCAAGAACTTATTTTGCATCCTTTGAATTTTGTTTATGTGTGTGTTGGCGGTGCCCAAATTTGGTATCCGTAAGTTAATAATTGGCCTAACGCATATTTTATATAGATTGAGCTTAATATTTGTTTTTAATCTGCTATTTTTTGATATAAGGGAGATAAATTTGTGCAGGGCTGGATATGCTAAATTAGTTCGTTTATTTGTAGCAGCTGCCCATGTGATCTTTGAGTCAAGGATGACTCTGAGGTATTTAGTGGGGAGAGACCAAGGAATATTTTGGTCTGCAATTTTGATAGTCGTGAGTGTCAGGTTTTTTTTAGTGGTGAATAAGATAGCTTATGTATTTGTGGGGTTTATTTTTAATTTCCAATCTATGAAATATTTTTGTAGTAAATCTAAGTTATTTTAGATGTAGATTGTGGCTTGCGTTGGACTTCAGGGTGAAGCGTAAATTGCTGTGTCGTCGGCAAATATGGCTGTGTGTGTGTTTGTTGTTTTCGGGAGATCATTTATATAAAGTATGAAGAGTAGCGGTCTTAGGATGGATCCTTGTGGTACCTCAGCTACGACTTCTTTGTACGTGGATTTTGTTCCATTTATGGAAACGTAGAATTTCCTATTTTTTAAATAGTTACTGATGATATTAATTAAAATCATAGGAAGTTTTATATCATGGAGTTCAGTTATTACGGCTTTGTGCCAAACGGAATCGAA